ATAAGTATAGCTCATGCTTCCCATCACCCTCAAATGTCACATGACCTAAGTTTGTTTCCCCTATCCCTGCCCCTTGCTGCCAATTATGCTTGGTCTCCTTGTGGTTAACTCACACTGGTAAATGGTGGTACTCGTCTAAGAGATGAAGTATGCTAACTCAACCATTTCTCTTAAGTGCTTACTAAATCCTTGTTACCCTCACCTAAGCACAGTTTGCAGGTACAAAGCCAAGCCACTTGCTCAACAGAAGAAATGAACAGCTAGAAAAATTATTGTCAGTAATTTAAAAAACACAAAGGTATTTCTAGCCATTAAAACTATGAAACTACAAAAAAATATTTTAAGAGAAAAAGTTTAAAAAATAGGGGAGAAGCCAGGCTCAGTAGCTCAGCCTGTAATCCCGCACCTTTGGGAGGCTGAGGTGAGTGGACTGCGGGTTCGAGACCCACCTGGGCAGCGACACCTCATCTCTACAATAAATAAAAAAATCAGCTGGGCGTGGTAGCATGTGCCTGTAATTCCGGTTACTCGGAAGGCTGAGGTGGAAGGATCGCTGGAGCCCAGCAGGTCGAGACTGTGGTGGCCGGGAATGGCCACTGCACTCCAGTCTGGGCGACAGAGTGAGACTCCAACTCAAAAAAAAAGGAAAAAGTACAGTGAAAAAATACAAAAGCATACCTCAAATGATAGATAAAATTTAAAATTCTCCTTTCAACAAAATAAGAAAAGAATGAGAGTGTCTTCTTACTATATGAGTCACACTGACTACACAGACAAGTCAGAAATAATGGTGCCAGAACAATCTATACGTCTTGGTCACCTCCAAGATCAGTCTGGAGGCTACAGACCAAAAGAGAGAATAGCCTTATGTCTGACTTGCCCAGGAAAGTCTGGGTGGACATTTGTTTCCCAGGACAGTTATTATAGAGCCCCCCTTCTTTTTTTTCTTTTTTTTTTGAGTTGGAGTCTCACTCGGTCGCCCAGACTGGAGTGCAGTGGCCGCTCCGACTGGAGTGCAGTGGCCGCTCCCGGCCACCGCAGCCTCGACTTGCTGGGCTCCAGCGAGCCTTCTGCCTCAGTCTTCCAAGTAGGAACTACAGGCGCGCGCTACCACGCCCGGTTGATTTTTTGATTAATTGTAGAGATGAGGTATCGCTGCCCAGGCGGGTCTTGAACCCGCAGGCTCAGGCAATCCACTCACCTCAGCCTCCCAAAGGCGTGGGATTACAGGCTGAGCCACCGAGCCCGGCTCTAGAGCCTCCTTTCAATCGCAAAAGTGTTCTGGCTAGATGATAAATGATATGATAGAAATACTATTTCAAAGCTTGAATTGCCCTTAAAGTATTCACTTTTTTTTTTTTTTTTTGAGTCAGAGTCTCACTCTATCACCCAGGCTGGAGTGCAGTGGCACAATCAGGGTTAACTTCCGGAGCTCAGGTGATCCTTCTGTCTTAGCCTCTGGAGTGGTTAGGACTATAGGCATGCACCACCATGCCTAGCTATTTTTTAAAAAAGTTTTTGGTAGAGATGAAGTCTTGCTGTGTTGCCCAGGCTAGTCTTTAACTTAAACTCCTAGGCTCAAGCAATCCTCCCACCTCAGACTCCCAAAGTGCTGGGATTTCTAGCCAAAATACTCACTTCTTAACACATCAGTGACTTCCTTTAAGGCCTCCTGGAGTAGGCTGAATGGTAATCCCAAAGATATCAGAGCCCAATCCCTGGAACCTGTAAATGTCACCTTATTTGGAAAGAGTTTTGGCTCTTATGATGAAAGATCCTGGAGAAGGAGGCAAGATTATCCCGGATTGGAAATGTCACCTTATTTGGGAAAGAAGGTTTTTGCAGATGTGATTAAATTAAGAATCCTGGGATGGAGAGATTATCCTGGATTATTCAAGTGGGTCCTAGTTGCTACCACATGTATTCTTTAAAGAGACAGATTTGACAGAGACAAAAGAGAAGACCCTGTGAAGATTCAGGCAGAGGTTGGCGTGACTCACTCGCGAGGGAAGGAATGCTGGCAGCCACCTAGAGCTGGAAGAGGCAAGGAAGAATCTTCCCCTAAAGTCTCCAGAGGAAGCACAGCTGTCCACACCTTGATTTTGGCCTTCTGGCCTCCAGAACTGTAAGAGAATCTACTTCTGTTGTTTGAAGCCACCTGGTTTGAGGTAATCTGTTACAGCAGCACTGGGAAACTAATACACCCAACCAAGATTCCTTCTTTTCTATCCATGTTCTCTAACAATAAGCTACACGACTTCCTAAGCCACTACACGTGCACTCTGTCAAATGTTATCACAGCCTTGTTTCTGTGTTGCTGATGAAAGTCTTCTCTCTTCCATCAGCAGTTCAGTGGGAAAGGGGCCATTTCATGATAAAAGGAATAATTTACTAAAGAACATACAATGTATCAAATATCTCAGAGCCAAATACAAAATGCAAAACTTATTGGAAGTGGAAAAAATTAAAAATACAGCTACCGCATGACAATTTACTAAACTTGTCATGTGGAAGAGAAACAGTGGCAGAAAAGTAGCTCCTTTCTGACATGGATAAGGAATAAGAAGCTAAACAATCCTGTAGAAACACACAGATGGGAGGAAGAGCTAGGACAACAGACTATACTGATGGGACAAAATTAGAAAATTTAAATTTAGCAGCTAGAAATTCACATAAAACTTTAGAATCAAGTTTAAAATAAAAGGAGATGTATACATAACAAGTGGAGGACATGGCTTCACAGCAGAACATGTGACTCAGGCTGCACAAGCTCAAGGTTAAGTCACAAAATGACAGACAATCACACACAAAAGATCAATCAATGCTCCAATGCAGGCATTGGCAAACTAAGGACCATGGGCCAGATCCAGCCAGCTACTTGTTTTGGTACTGCTTGTGAGCTAATCATGGTTTTTCCATATTTAAATGGATGAAAAATAATCATAGCCGGGCTTGGTGGCTCAGCCTGTAAACCCACGCTTTGGGAGGCTGAGGTGAGTGGATTGCCTGAGCCCGCAGATCAAGACACGCCTGGGCAACCTGGCAAGACCTCATCTCCACAATAAAATCAAAAAATTAGCCGGGCGTGGTAGCGCGCGCCTGTAGTTCCAGTTACTCGGAAGACCGAGGCAGAAGGATCGCCGGAGCCCAGCAGGTCGAGGCTGCGGTGGTCGGGAGCGGCCACTGCACTCCAGTCTGGGTGACAGAGTGAGACTCCAACTCAAAAAAAAAAAAAAAAAAAAAAGAAAAAGAATCACAAGAATAACATTTCATGGCACGTGAAAATGACATGAAATTCACATTTCAGTGTCCATAAACAAAGTTTTATTGGAACACAGCCAGTTATACTCACTCATTTACACACTGTCTGTCTGTTTTTGAGTACAATCAGAGTTGAGTAGTTCACTAGAGTCCATACAGCCATTTACAGAAAAAGTATGCAGACCCTTCTAGACTACATAGGGTAAATCTTATCTCAAGGCTGAAGGGAGTTCTGGAGATGAAATTTTAAGTGAGAAATTAACTGACTAGCTGTCTTCAGCACAGGGAATGGAATCCTAACACCTTGAAGAGGTTGGAATTAAAATTCAGGGGGAACTTGGTACATGAATTCAAATTTATAAAGGGATTTTTTCCAGATATGAGAGGATCTTATATGCTGTTTCAGAAATTTATGCCGTTTTAGAAACAAACTACAGAGATAAATGGCAGCGTATTGGGGATAACCTTTCTCACAATTAGTCATCAAATCACAGAGTAGCAGTGTGTCTTGGAAACTGGCAGGATTCATGCCGAGCCCAACTGAACATCTATTCATAAGATATAGAGCAGACAACAGCTTGGAGTTGACGTCTGTAGTGGGTCAAATGGTGCCCCTCCCAACTCATGTTTACCCACAACTTCAACATGTGATCTCATTTTGGAAATAGGGTCTTTGCAGATATATCCAAGGTAAAAACCAAGATAAGATCATTCTGGATTAGGATGGGTCCCAAATCCAACAACAGAATACTTAGACAGAAAAGAGACACAGGGATGAGGCCAGGTGAAGACAGAGGCAGAGACTGGAGTGATGCAGCCACAAGCCAGCAAACACTAGGAGATTCCAGGAGCTGGGAATCTCCAGAGCCTTCAGAGGGAGTACGACCCTGCCCACACCTTGATATCAAACTTCTGACCTCCAAAACTGTGAGAAAATAAATTTCTGCTCTTTTAAGCCACCTAGTTTGTGCAATTTGTTATGGTAGCTCTAGGAAAACTAGTTCAATCTCCTTCAAAATTCCCCTTAACCTCCAACTTCTCTGGTTTTCTCAATGGCAAAGACCAACCATATTTTCTTCAATTTCTTCTAGAGTTTCACAGAGCCTCTTTCAATGCTAATGTTGCTAAAAAAATTCAATAATATTAATATTAATTCTGTTCCTCTTGAAACGTTAAAAAATGATAATTTTTTAAAAATTAAACTTTTAATTTTGGGAGATCTGTAGATTCACACACAGTTGTAAGGAACAATGCAGAGATCCTGCGAATCTTTTGCCCAGTGTCTCCCCATGGAAATATCTTGCAAAACTATAGCACAATATCACTACTATGACCCTGCGATACAATCCAGTGATCTGATTCAGATGTTCCACAGTTTCACTTATACTCATGGGGGTAAGGGAAGTATCATTGTGTGTATGTCTATGTGTGTATACATATGCATGTGTATTTAGTTCTATCACTACAAGGGCACAACACTTCCATCATAACAAGGACAATAATGGTATTTTAATACCTGCAAAAATATGCTTTACCTGTTTTTATATTTACAAATATTAATGTTAGAATGGGTTCAAAGACAAATTCTTCAAAGAAACAAGGTGAGAAAGCATATTTACTTGATCATTAAAAGAAAAAAGGCAACATTTTTCAGATATTCTAATAGAGGGAATCACTGAGGGGAAAAAAGTCAACAGTGACCCAGAGCAGGTTTCTAGGGCAAGACACATCTCTCCTACCTTGTCCTTTTTATCTTGTCGGGCGTATGGGAAACACGGGATCACCGCAGTCACCCTGGATGAAGATGCAATCTTGCAGGCATTGATCATGATGAGGAGTTCCATCAGATTGTCATTAATTTCTCCGCAGCCGCTCTGGATAATGTAGACATCTTCCCCTCTCACACTTTCACCAATCTCCACACTAGGAAGAGAAAAATGCCACCCATTAATGTTAAAGCATATTTGCATCTTGGGGGCCCGGAGACCACTTCTAGGTACAAGGATCACCAGAATATTTCATAGGACTCAGCGTATAGTCACACTCATGGTTATGATTTATTGAAGGGGAAAGACACAGAGCAAAATCAGTAATGGGAAAAGGTGCAGGGGAAGAAGTCAGGGGAAACTGAGAATAAGCTTTTAAGATTCCTCTCCCAGTGGAGTCAGAGGTCGAGCTTAATGCCCCCAGTAGTGAACTGTGACATGTGTGAACTGCTGTCTACCAGGGAAGATCCTTAGAGACTCAAAACCCAGGGTTTTTATTGTGGGCTGGTCACACAGGCACCCTCTGCCTGGCACATACCAAAATGCCAGACTTGCAAACATTCAGCATTAGCCACATTGTTGATCAATTGTTTAACAGTTTGCACACAGCAAGCCATTCTTACCCAGGAACGGTGGGAATTTTGCAAAATCTAAGCTCCCAGAGGCCAGCCAAGGGCCAACCCTGCAAGCAGAACTTTCTAAGTCTCGGGCCTGCTAGGTTAACACTTTTCTGCAAAATATTATATTTAGTTTTAGCTTTGAATTTTATTAAAGTTGTACATGCACATTCCTTAAAAAATTTCAAATCAGGGAAAGAGGAGAGGGATGAAAAATCACCTATTGGATACAATGTGCATCAATGGAGGTGGCAGACACATCACTATACAATTCATCATGTAATAAAAAACCACTTGTATGCAAAGCTATTGAAATAAAAATGCAAAAATAATAAATAAATAAAAGTTAAGGAAAAAATTCAAATCATTCTGTAAGCCTTATAAAAGGTAACAGCCCCGGAGGCCATCAAGTTCAAGTCTCCAGATGGTTTTAAAATATTTTCCTTCAAGTCTCTAGCATTAATAGGCATGTATTGCTGCATGTTTTTTTTTTTTTTTGAGTCAGGGTCTCACTCTGTCACCCAGGCTAGAGTGCAGTGGCATGATCATGGCTGACCATAGCCTTGAACTCCTGGGCTCAGGTGATCCTCCTGAGTGGCTGGGACTGTAGGCCTTCACCACCATGCCCAGCTAATTTTTTGACTTTTTGTAGAGATGAGGTCTCGCTATGTTGCCCAAACTGGTCTCAAACTCCTGGGCTCAAGCAATCCTCCCACCTCAGCCTCTCAAAGTGCTGGAATTACAGGCATGAGCCACCACACCTGGCTCCTGCATCTTGATTTTTCATTTTAGGTATCAAGTTTTGATTTATCACTATGGAAGATGAGAATTTAACTCTAGGTCCTCTCAATTTCATCGCATACATGCAAACTTCCCATCTTGCCATCATCCCAATATCGATCAATATTCAAATGAAAAACTGACTGCTACATCTTAACTGTGTAAATGCTACTCAGAGCTCAGCCATGTGGCAAACTTAAATCAATGTTTATATTTCCCTTTCACAACTTTTCTTTTTGTTTTCCCAGGTCATTATCTTACCTTTTTATCTGCTAAGTTTTCTAAGTAGTGAATCCAGACTCTACCCAAACACTTCACCAACAGTCTAAGTCTCCCAAGGTCAGAGGCCCCAAGTCCCATGGGCATTTCATTGTCCTGCAACCGTCCCTCCAAGGATGGCTGGCCTGTGTTTTCTTTCTGTCTGTTCACAGCTGCCATTCGGGGGTTCCCTTCATCCCTCTCCTGCACTCCATTTCCCATTTTCTGTATCCTCTTTCTTGGAGTACTTCCTTGTTTGGCTGGTTGGTATCCTCTCGTAGCTTCTTAAGAAAGAGTAGATAGGAGTTATGTATTTGAAAACTGCATGTCTGAAAATTCCTGTATTTGCAGGTATAGAATTCTGGGTGTTTACCATGAGAGAGAGCCATCCCAACCTGATATATGCCTTTCATGGGACAAAAAGCAAAACAGTGGTGAATATAGTCAGTTTTGCTATAATGCCCGCTTTGTAAAGGCGAATTTCCAATGACTGATATATTTGGAACAATTTGAGCATAACATTAAGTTTGTGTTTTCCTGTTGTTGTTGTTTTTGATTTATTTTTGAGTCAGTCTCACTCTGTTGTCCAGGCTGGAGTGCAGTGCCACAATCATGGCTAGCGCAGCCTTGTCCTCCTGGGCTCAGTTTCGCAAGAAGCTGGGGCTACAGGGATGCCAACACGCCGGCTAATTAATTGATTTTCTTTTTTTAGAGACAAAGTCTCACTATGTTGTCCATGCTGGTCTCGAACTCCTGGGCTCAAGCAATCCTCTGGCTTCCGCTTCCCAAAGTGCTGGGATTATAAGCATGAGCCACCATGCCTGGTCTTGCATTTTCTTATGTATTACTTGTTATTCTAAGATGGGAAAGTAGGAAACTTGCACTTTGCCCAACTGAACAAAGCCACTTGGAAATTCACAAACATACCTGCACACACCTTGAGAGGACAAAAAGCCACACTCATTTGCAATTGGTCACAACTTTAAACTTCAGGGCCCCTTCTTCTACCACCTCACAATAATTCAATCCTTCTGAGGCTCCCTTCCACAAGCAAACTGCAGGTATTGTCAATAAAAAGTGCCGTATTTACTGTAGTATTTATGTACTTTAAAAAAATGTAAAACATGTTAAAGTGTTTTGCCAATTTCACAGGCTGAGTATCTCTAATCCAAAAATCTGAACTCCAAAATGCTCCAAAATAGAAGTTTTTGAACACTAAGATGATGTTTAAAGGAAGTGCTCAAAGAAGCTTTTTTTCCCAGAGTTTTGGATTTAGGATGCTCAACTAGTAGGTATAATGCAAATACTCCAAAATCCAAAAAAAAAAAAACCCAAATCTGAAATGCTTCTGGTCTTAAGAATTTCTGATAGGGATACTCAACTTTGTATTACTTCCCCATGGTTTTTTTTTTAATGTATCACTGAAGAAGTTTTTAAATATTGTGCCCGTAACCCCATTTTTTTCTCATAAGCCCTGTGATTTTTAATGCCCAATTGTGTATAGTATTGTCATTTTTAGGAATACATATGTCACATTACAGCAGAACTGGCTGTAAACGCACTCATCCAAGAATGAAATACAATGAATTCTATTTTTTTTCTTGAGTTGGAGTTTCACTCCTTTGCCCAAGCTGGAGTGCAGTGGCACACATGATCATGGCCACCTCAGCGTCAACCTTCTGGGCTCCAGTGATACTTCTGCCTCAGCCTTCAAGTAGCTGGAACTACAGACGTGCACTACCACGCCTGGCTATTTTTTATTTTATTGTAGAGACGAGGTCTCGCCAGGTTGCCCGGGCTGGTCTCGAACCCGCAGGCTCAGGGAATCCACTTGTCTCCCAAAGTGCTGGGATTACAGGCTGAGCCACCGAGCCCGGCCATGAATTCTATTTTAAAATTACAAGTGAGGCACATGAATAATTACCCTTCTCCCACTATCAGATACCTAATAAAATTGTTTTAGTAAAAGAGTCAACAGGCCAGGCACGGTGGTTCACGCCTATAATTCTAGCACTTTGGGAGGCCGAGGTGAGAGGATTGCCTGAGCCCACAGATTTGAGACCAGCCTGGGCAACTTGGTGAGATCTCCTCTCTACAATAAATTAAAAAAATAACTGGGTGTGGTGGTGTGTGCCCATAGTTCCAGTTACTTGGATGGCTGAGGCGAAAGGATCACGTGAGCCCAGTAAGTTGAGGCTGTGGTGGCTGAAGTGTGCCACTGCAGTCCAGCCTGGGTGACAGAGTGAGACTCCAACTTAAAAAAAAAGAGCCTAAGCTGGGCTCGGTGGCTCAGCTTGTAATCCCGTGCCTTTGGGAGGCTGAGGTGAGTGGACTGCCTGAGCCCGCGGGTTCGAGACCCACCTGGGCAGCGAGACCTCATCTCTACAATAAGTCAGTAAGTCAAAAAATCGGCCGGGCGTAGTAGCGCATGCCTGTTAATTCCGGCTACTCGGAAGGCTGAGGCGGAAGGATCGCCGGAGCCCAGCAGGTCCAGGCTACGGTGGCCGGGAGCGGCCACTGCACTCCAGTCTGGGCGACGGAGTGAGACTCCAACTCAAAAAAAAAAAAAAAATTGAGATTTGAGATACCATGTAGTAGTCTATCTGAATCAATAGAAGTTATGTCCAACTTCAAGGAGAATAGTTAGAAGATAAAAATTAGCCAGGCTTAGTGGCTCATGTCTGTAGCCCCAGCTACTTAGAAGGCCAAGGCAGGAGAATCACCATAAGCCCAGTAGTCCTGTCTGGGCAACATAGCAAGATTCCATCTCTAAAAAATAAAAAAGAAGCTAAAAATAAAGTTTTTCAAGTAGATATATTCTGAAAGTAAGTTTTGACGACATTCAGGCATATTCTTGCATACTCTACTTTGGATGAAAATGGTACAATGCCAATCTCTCAGGATAAAAGGAACAGAAAGAGTTCTATGTGCTCTCTTCTAGTTTGAGTTAACTGTAACTGCTTTGTGAACATTAATTACATCAACTGTGGCTAAACATAATTTGGAAATTGCTATGGTTTGAATGTGTCCCCCAAAGTTCACGTGTTGAAAATTTAATCCCCAATGCAACATACTGAGATGAGATTTTTAAGAGGTGATTAGGTCATGAGGGCTCTGTCCTCAAAAATAGATTAATATTATTATTGCTAGAGTGGGCTCATTATCTCAAGAGTGGGTCTGTTTTATAACCAAGATTAGCCCTTTCTTGCTTTCTCTTGAATGTGCTCATTTGCCCTTCCACTCTTCTGCCATGGTATGACACAGCAAGAAGGTTCTTGCCAGATGCCAGCCTCTTGACCTTGGACTTTCCAACTTCCAGAAGTGTGAAAAATACATTTCTGTTGTTTATAAATTACCCAGTCTCAGGTAATCTGTTATAGCAGCACAAAATGAACTAAAATAATCAAATTCAGTGTTATATACCTCAGGGATTAACAAAATATAGCACACAGTTTGTTTTCATATAACCTGTGAGCTAAGAATGGTGTGGTAAGCAGAACAGTCCC